GTACATGTGGTGGGCTTATACATGGGGGGCTTATATTCGGGGGGGGGGGGCTTATAGTTGAAGGTTTACGGTATTCGGTTCCAGCCAGAAGTTCCGGTTTGACTTCCACTCTGTAAATAAAGGGAAAAACTTGATGATGCACTATACAGCTTATGCTTAGAATGGCTTTTTTCAAGTTTATTTTTATACGTCTAATATTGCCCTGTGTTTAAAGTATTATACATAATAAGTACCATTGACAAAGTCGTATGCATTATATTGTTCAATACTATACCTATAAACCCTTAAAGTCCTTTCTGTTTTGAGAAGCAAGGGAACGTTTCTGCTTCTGATTATTTGACTATGTAGTGAAGCAAAGTTACAGTAAAGATTTGAAATGACACAACAACATTCACCAGTACAGGCGAGCTTATATTGACTAAGACTACGTTCACAATACACCACGCCGTTACAGTTTCAAATTAATTTAGCATCAAAATCCAGTTTCACTTTCATTCATGAGTTTATCGTTGTCGTTTGTGGTTTCCTTGAAAGTTGTATATTTCACACTGCCTTCCATTGCTTCGCACATGATCTCTTCACAATCGTTTTTAGGCGTTTCATTCAAAATGCCGGATTTCATTTTGCATTTACTTTTCAGTGCTGGATAAACCAAACAAGCAATGATAATGAGCAGTACCACTAGAAGGATCGCTAATACTATGATTCCAACAAGATATTTTTTGTAATTTTCGCAGCTGTCTTCTGCATCTGAAAATAGAAATAATTTGAAGTGCATAAATAAATTGAACTTTCGTATACAGCATACGGATCGATCCGAAATCCATTCAGAGCCGTATCGGGCCAGGGGTGGACAACCATAAACGAGCCGAGTCCACAACTGAGCTAATTACTTGCTTATTAGCATGGTATTCCCTCCCTCCCTACCCCGTTTAACAACGGCAGTTAATCACGTGTGGACACTCCAAAAAATGTCCAAGGTACCGGCTTTTAAATTGATCTCTAAGTGTTAACGTGTCAATAACCCCTTAAACACACCTCTATCAGATTTACAGCATCAGTTGGACCTTCAGTTGTTACAGTGCTAGTTGGATCTTGTCTTGACATAGGAGTAGTTAGACCATCTGATGCATATTCTGTTGACACAGCAACGCTAGTTGGACCTCCTGTTGCATTATCAGGTGGACGTTTTGTTGACGCTACTGTGGACACACTAGCATCAGTTGGACCTGGTGTTTTTCCAGTATCAGTTGGACCTCGTGTTGACACAGCAGTAGTTGAAGCCTCTGTTGACACAGCAGTATCAGTTGTATATTCTGTTGACACACCAGTATCAGTTGTAAATCCTGTAAGCACAACAGCGTCAGTTGGACCTCTTGTTGCATTATCAGTTGGACTTTCTGTTGACACTTCTGTGGACATAACAGCACCAGTTGAACCTTCTGTGGACACAGTAGCATCAGTTGGACCTTCTTTGGACACAGCAGCATCAGTTGGATCTTCTGTGGACACAACAGCACCAGTGTGACCTTCTGTGGACACAGCAGCATCAGTTGGACCTTCTGTGGACATAGCAGCATCAGTTAGACCTTCTGTGGAAACAGCAGCACGAGTGCGACTTTCTGTGGGCACAGCAGCATTAGTTGAACCTTCTGTGGACACAGCAGGATCAGTTGGACCTTCTGTGGACACAACAGCACCAGTGTGACCTTCTGTGGACACAGCAGTATCAGCTGGACTTTCTGTGAATACAGCAGCATCTGAAGGACCTTCAGTGGAAAGAGCAGCATTTGTTGGACCTTCTGTGGACACAGCAGCATCAGTTGGACCTTCTTTGGGAACATCAGCATCAGTTGGACCTTCTGTGGACACAGCAGCATCAGTTGGACTTTCTGTGGACACAGCAGCATCAGTTGCACCTTCTGTGAACACAGCAGCACCAGTGTGACCTTCTTTGGATACAGCAGCATCAGTTCGACCTTCTGTGGGCATATCAGCATCAGTTGGATCTTCTGTGGACACAGCAGCATCAGGTGGACCTGCTGTGGACACGACAGCATCAGATGGACGTTCTGTGGATACAGCAGCACCAGTGTGACCTTCTGTGGACACAGCAGCGTCAGTTAGACCTTCTGTGGATACAGCAGCATCAGTTGGACCTTCTGTGGACATAGCAGCATAAGTTGGACTTTCTGTGGAAATAGAAGCGTCAGCTGGACCTTCTGTGAACACAGCAGCATCAGTTGGACCTTCTGTGGACATAGCAGCATAAGTTGGACTTTCTGTGGAAACAGAAGCGTCAGTTGGACTTTCTGTGGATACAGCAGCATCAGTTGGACCTTCTGTGAACCCAGCAGCGTCAGTTGGACCTACTGTGGACACAGCAGCACCAGTTAGACTGTCTGTTGTTACAGCTTTAGTTCGACCTTTTAAAGACACATTAGCATCAGTTGGACAATCATATATTGATAATTTATTGCAGGATTTTTGAATTTTCTAATGAACTTTCTATTATTGTAGGTAATCACGCAGGAAGGAGTGCAATTAATGATTAGCATTACGAGTGATATTTGAAAAATGTGGGAAAATAACACGAGCCGCCGGGGCGAGTGCAATTTGGAAAATTTTTCAAATATCGCGAGTAGTGTTAATCATTAATTATACGACTTGCCCGTGTGATTATTTATTTATTATACAGTACTGCTCAGAAGTAAACTAATGAAAAACGCGTTCCAGAGCGCGTTCTAAAACGCGTTCCGCGAGACCTTCCGAACGCGTTCTGGAAAGGGTCCCTGGTTCAGAACAATCGGTTCAGAAAAGGTTCAGAAAGGTTCAGAAAGGGTTCAGAAAGGGTCCCTGGTTCAGAAAAATTTCTTGCGAAGAAAATCAAACACATTTTAGAATGACAAAGCTTTCCTTGTTTGCAATCTGAACTGCTTTGTAAACAGCGTCGCTACAATTTCGCTATTCAAAATTGCACAGATATCGATGGCATGCCGTCCCTGCCAGACAAATTTAGTTACATATGATTTGCTACGGCGAGATAAAATGCACGACTAAAATATCTTCTAAATATCATCTGTAAAAACGCATGAATATTGAGTGCCGGAAGAGTTACTTCGGACGAAGTTCTAAGCGAGTAATTAATGCGATTCAGCTAGACTATAAATCAATCAACGCATACAACGCTCCTGTCATTTTCGATATTTTACACTTGAACTATATTTATCAAGTGTGTCGCAAGTCTTGGCAGTGTCAGTAGTTTATAACAAATATGAAGAGACCAAACTTACCTTTGCAAATGTTGATCAGAAGAACTGATAACCAGTCAGCGATATCATCGTTATTAATTAAACAAATGCTGATCCAGTGTGAAAAATATGGTTTATTGTTTTGATCACATTAACGCGTCAGCAATTCTTGTATATTCGTATTATAATAAATATCTTGTATATACAAGTGCTTTTCAAGTAAGATTGCATCGCAATCCCAATATAAAAATTAAAATCGTGATTCTGACGATTGCCAGAGAATTATTTGTCTAGGTGGCCAACAAGAATCCATGACGCGTTAATATGATCAAAACAATAAACCATATTTTTCACCCTGGATCATCATTTCTTCAATTAATAAGGATGATATCGCCGACTGGTTATTCTTCTAATCAACATTTTGCGAGGTTAGTTTTGTCTTATCATATTTTTATATTAAAATCAGGATTTAAATCCTGATTTTGCATGATACGCCTGAATAATAACATTCAAAATTTTAGCTCGTAACTGTCCATGTTCCATCCTTGTGTTAATAATTATTTAAATTTAGTCTATAGCTTTGTAGAATATATTCATCGGACGTGATCTAGTTATACAAAGCTCACTTCCCTTGTGGTCGTTTGAGCACTCTGGCCCCATTACGCTCCGCGCATGTCTGGATGCGTTGAGTCACCGTGTTGTACCACATGCCTTGGAGAGAGCAAGTTCATGGGATATAAATACGAGTGTCTCACGTGTCTAGACGTGTACCAAGCTGCACTGACGAGGCGTAGAACGCCGAAACATGCATGTTTGCAGATTGTACTATATGTATATATATATATATATATATATATATATATATATATATATATATATATATATATATATATATATATATATATATATATATATATATATATATATATATATATATATATATATATATATATATATATATATATATATATATACACTGGATCCAGAAAAGTTTGACCTTCGAATATATATATATGTCGGCCATTTTGAATTTTCTTGGGTTAATTATACGCGAACGCATACATCAAATGTCGCTCGCAACGTATTGTATATTGCAATATTATTCCAACAGCTCAAATGAATAAAAGAATCATTGATTGATGTTTTTGCACATAATCATAATGGCTAGTAGGAAATGAACCGAATGCTGCGCGTGCTGAGTTTCAGGGGATGAAATATCGAATGACTATCGATTCCGTTAAAATTTCCGTTGGCAAAATATAATAATTCTGGACGTAGGTTACAGCTATAAAATAAGCACAAGTGAATACGAAAGAATAAACAAAGAAATTCATCGAGGCATGCTAATAAGCGTCTAAATCTCTAAGGATGCAAAAGAATAAATTACGACATGCCAAAATTAAAGATCAGGTTCCAAATTGTGACAAGAGTTAATTAGCTAACAAGCCTCAAATGTTCATTAGATAGCTACGACAAATATGTGTAAGAACTTCAAGCAATGATCCTTTACTTATTTGAGCTGTTGGAATATTGCAATTTACAGTACGTTGCGAGCGACATTTGATGTATGCGTTCACGTATAATTAACCCAATAAAATTCAAAATGGCCGACATATATATATATTCGAAGGTCAAACTTTTCTGGATCCAGTGTATATATATATATATATATATATATATATATATATATATATATATATATATATATATATATATATATATATATATATATATATATATATATATATATATATAATCTTTTCAAAAAATTTAAAAAAAAATTGTGTTCCATTTTCAACAAATACGGACTTAAAATCACAATTGAAGCTAACAAGAAAATAGTCAATTTTCTTGACGTTACCCTTAATTTATCAACCGGGAAATATCAACCATACGCCAAACCTAATAATATACCCCTTTACGTGCACAAGAAATCTAATCACCCACCTAAATTACCTAATATCCTGCGCAATATCCCACTATCAATTAACAAACGCCTAACTGAAATATCATCCGATGAGGAATCATTTCAACGAGCCTCGCAACAATACCAGCAAGCACTTCATAATAGTGGTTACAAACACCAATTAAAGTGCAAGCACCCACTGCATCATACAACCACTCAAACCGAAAATCGGAAACGAAATATTATATGGTACAATCCACCATTTAGTAAAAATGTATCAACAAATATTGGACAAACATTTTTGAATATCATCGGTGATGAATTCCCGACAGGCCACCCCTTACACAAAATATTCAACCACCACACTGTTAAAATAAGGTACAGTTGCATGCCCAATATCAAACAAACCATCGACGGACACAACAAGACCAAACTGTCCCAAACCGCCACAACGAGCGAAGAAAGCACATGCAACTGTAGAAAGAAAGAGGAGTGCCCAATGTCCAAAAAATGTTTGGTCGAGTCTATTGTGTATCAAGCTACAGTTTCTACCAACGACAATAGTCCACCTCAAACATACGTTGATCTTACTGAAAACACTTTTAAAACTCGATATTACAACTACAAAACGTCATTTACTTTGTACGAGAAAAGGAACTCCATGACAGAACTTAGTAAATATGTCTGGCAGTTAAAGCGCAGAGGAATCGAATTTCATATTAAATGGCAAACCTTGAAACGGGCCAAACCCTACAGCCCTGCTTCGAATAGATGTAATCTCTCTCTGTGGGAAAAATACTTTATTATATGTAAACCTGAATTGACTACTTTGAACAAACGTAATGAAGACTAGCGAAAAAACTTCTTTTAACTAACATTTAAAGGGCATGCGCTCGCGAGACAGATAAATTTTTGTTTTAAATATACCGCGCAATCTTAATAACTTGGTGTTATGTTATGCGTTGTTAATACTGCCGCGTCCTGTCAATTTTATCAAGTAACAAAATAATTACTTTGCGTGCTTTGTAAATAGGATTAATTTAAAGCTTTCATCCACTTGTACATAAATAACGTAGGTTTTTTGCTGTAGTCATAAGGCTAATTTATCTGATGAGTGCCATATCTTGTGGTACGAAACTAATAGTAATGAAGATGCCTAGTGGAATTTGTTGAGTCGTTGCACTTATTTAAAGTGCCACTGCGGTGGAAAATTGGGCTGTCTTTTTATTGCATATTCAGAAAGTAAATCAGTAGATAAACAAAATTACCAAATATCAGCGTCCAATTCCATTTCCTTCTGCTTTTTTTTTCAACGCAAACATGCAAATTTTTCGGCCGCCATTACTGAGTTATCAATTAGCGAGGTGTCGATTTCTTAGCCGGATGTGACGTCATTTACTCAACACGTTTCTTTCCCAAAGGAGAAATTAATACTAGTATAACAAAAAGTTAGTGAATTGCTGCCGTACGTGTATTCGCATTGCAAACTTGCAAAAAAGTTGGCGCCTTGATTACCTTATGTTTGACATGAAGGCCTGGTTACCAATCGCGTCTCAACATCAGTACTAACCAGTGCGCTAAGAGGCATTCACTCCCTAATAATATTCAAAATGGCGAACCTCCATAAGTGCACTGTGTAGGACCATGGCGTCAGCATTTTGATGACGAATCATGTTGCAGCATCATGTGGCAGCTGCAATGCTTTGCAGGTAATCCACAACCAAATTTCAGCTGCAATGCTTTGCAGGTAATCCACAACCAAATTTGTTAATTGTTCTGAATATATATAGTACTAATATAGTGATGGGTTGTAGGAGGTATTTGGGTAGTTGTAATGAAATAACTTTGCAATATTCTACCAATAAAAAGTTATATATTCGGCCAGCTTACTAGCCTGCATAGGCTCTCTCTCGCACGCACTATGCTTGATTCATAGGGGTATGAAGGGGTACTTGTGGGTTATTACCCATTCTATTAACAAGTAGGTTTAACTACTGACATGTAATTTTAATAGATTGTTTGGCCGAGTAAAACAGTGAATGCAATGTTTTAAAGTTAACTCATTTATTTCAAATGTCAATTGTCAAACACTTAAGCCGTGTGGACAAATGACCAAATATTGTAAACAAACCAAATACCGTAACCTCTGATTATAAGCCCTGGGTTTATATAAGTTCGTAAGTGTTTGTTGATGGGCTTATACATAGGGGGGGGGGGGGTATATACAGGGGCTTACATCAACATATTTATATGATCGAGAAAAGAACGTTTGATGCCAAAATAGATCTTTGCTTCTCACACTATAACTACAGTATTAAAATGTGCACCAATTCAGGCATGATATTGCTCAATTGTTACCCCCATTTAAACAAATGCAATATATTTTATCACTGCGACTTGATCTATCAGCAGCAGTATTAAATAGAGGTCTGTAAAATTTGCAGTTTTATATATTATGATATACTGTAGCTCTGAGTCACGTGATACCTTCGTACAATGGCTCTCGTTTGTTTTGATGGCAATTGGCTCTCGTTTGTTACTGTTTGTTTGTTTACAATTGATGTAAATTTTATTTGAGTTCCCTGTTGCCACGTACACCATGACCAACACGCAAAGCGTCTGATCAATATATTGATCAGCTACAAGCGTGAACACAATGATTCCCAACACCAAATATGCACTGTCAGATTTATTATTTATAAAATCAAACGCGAGCCTATATATATTTAGAAGAACAAATCGTCAAATCTCCTTGAAAATTCTTCTTAAACTAAAAGGATCGTAGATAATACTTTGATCTTACCTTAAAAAATGACTTTACAAGAAGATATAATTCTTAAAAATTGCAATATTTGCTAAATACTTGCCAACTTGTAAGTTTCGCCCTCGTGCTAAACTTGGCAATTCCCGAAGAGCAGCCGGTAGCTTCCGTAAAGACCCGTCGAATATCTTCTACGTCACAAAACGTCATAAAACTGAACATCCAAACATTTCTAAATCCAAATCATTGTCGCAATTATATAGCTCGGTAAAGAGGTCTGGGAACAAATCACAAGAATAGGAAGCTGCCTGCGGCAGCAATTATCAAAGGCTTATTCTAGGCTGTTTTTTGTTCAAAATTATTCAACACAATCATCAACAACTCAAATTTTGCAACACAATCATCTTGAGAACTCTCTTTTGCCGAAGACGTTTCTTGTGATA